GCACAGCAAAGCCAAAGAAATATTTACACATCATTGCCTTTCCTAGATGCTGTTGTCCTGAATCTAGTTTTCCAGCTGATGTAAATCCAGATGATGTAAATCACCATGACTCTATGGACCTAAGCTAGCCAAAAGAATGGCCAAAAGTTTCTATGCTAATACCGGTTGTTTTTCTAGGTTGGCATCATTTTTGGGAATTGTGTTGAAGTGATATTTAAATTAAAGGGGAAATGGCTCATTGCTAGTTTAGATTTCTATTAAAAAGATATCTGACCTAAAAGGTGCTATAATCTTTTACAGGCAGAAATAAATGTGTTGAGGAGAATAGTTGAAAATGCCAGCTCCTTACAGCCTTAAAAATCTCTATGAATGCAACATTGCTAGTTAAACACAAATATTTATACCGTGTAGAGCATCCACTCCAACTGAAAAATGTGTTCTCTGTATCAAAGAGAGCTCTATTTAACATAGTATATTAACCAAAGGCCAAGTCTTTTTTTCGTAATGAAGCTGATGATAGCAAAATTTTCATCAATTAAATGGAGGAAGCACAGTAGCATCAAATGGCTGGGGTTGGGAGTGATTTGAGGGTGTGTTAGGGGAAGGCTGCAGCCATTCCCTTCTCCATTTCACAGCTTCTTAATAATATTATTTATATTATTTGAAGGTTTCTGGATGTTTATTAAGGTGGAGTTGAGTTTGGAAGAAAAGAGGAAGGCTGTGAGATTGGCACAGAAATGTGGGAATAGAGAGGTCAATGAAGAACAAACAGTGAGGTCTCTAATAGCAAAATAAACATTTTTAACTGTCTCACCTTTTATGGTTGAAGATGCTACAGTGTTCTGTAAAGCCTCTGTATGTGGCCTGGATGGAGATGGCAACAGGTGACCAGCATGCAGTGTATCTGCAGGAAACAGAGCAGGTTTTTCTATAGGTCACAGGACAATTCTTCACTCTTACAAGTCTAAACTGACCTCTTTATCCAATGCTGTGATATTATTTTCATGTATTAATAGATCTTTAAGGTCAGTGGGGAATATGATGAACATTTGTCTGAGCTCTTACAACAACAGCCAAAGGATTCAACCCCGTAACTCCTGCCAATAGTCTCTGATTGAGCAACAGCCTCTTTGAGAAAGTTGTCGGCTTATTCCAATGACTGATGATAGAGAGGAAAAAGTTCTTTTGAGTAGACAAAATCTTATCTATCATGTTCTGATGTTTATCCAGGGCTTAACATTGTGAGGGAATGATCAGTGCAGCTGGTAAAAAGCAGCTCTGTTCTTCACCAACTATTGTATATTTAGCCAGCATTCATCAGGCTGGAGCTCCAGTCTGCTGAATCTCTCCCCCTAGCTTCAGTATTAGCTAACTCACTAACATATTGAGTCCCCGACATATATAGGTTTTAAGGAGGCAAGGATAAAATTCCCAGTATAAAAATGTCATGGTTTAACCCCAGCTGGTAGCCCCATACTAGCTACTATGAAGAAAATTAGCTCTATCCCAGCCAAAACCAGAACAAAAGAGAAAAATAATACGCCACATGTTGTGAATAGAGGGTGTGCCATACCGAGTGACACCAGAAAACCAAGTCGTTTGCACATTTTTTGTGTGTTTTGATTTTCCTGACTGTTGCACCAAATGCTGGTGCACCAGTAACACAAAGAGGGCAATTCCTAGTGGCACTACAGCTCCGTACATCAAGCTGTCCAAGTACCTGGAGACAGATGCCTACTGTTTATTAAGCAGTACGATGAAGTGATTCAGTTCAGAGCAGCAATGTTCTGGTGTGGAGGACGGAGGGAGTTGTGAAATGTTTTCTTTTAATTTATTTGGTGGCAGGGGAACCTGGTAAAAAAACAGTTTATAAATTCGGTAGATATTCACTCTATTTTCGTCATCTGGACAACTAAAAGCCATAAATATAGAATAACGCTATTCCGAGAGTGAATTATATTTCCTTTGCCATTACCCTGAGCAGTTGCAGAGCCCAAGAGCTTTGCTGACACAAGAGAGTTATACAGGTTCCCCCAAAGTAGTGCAGTCATCTGCCGTTACCACAAGGCATGAGATTTTTCTTTTTTCCCTTTGGTTCAATATATGTTACAATTTTTTAGTTGAAAGAAACTAGAAAAGGGCAAAGGACAGGAGAAGCATAGTCCTTGTCTTTAGATGGATTTCAACATATTCTGGGAGCACATGAGGTAAAAACTTTCAGCTGGCCTAAGCCTCCACACATGTCTTGTAGGACTTTTCAACTTCTGCTTGATCTCCCTTTATGTTTTTTGGGCACAAGGAATAGCGTTGCTTCATCTGTTGGTTTTATCCAGCATTTTGTGAGGAATTTTTACCTCTCGATATCTTGGACCTTTTACAGCCCCTTTATGATAGTATTTTAGCTCATCACTGTCTTCATCTTCATTTCATACACGCAGGTCTCGGTCAAAGAGAAGTAGATAACTAGCGTGGAGTTAGGAAACCTCACCCAGCAAGGTGCTGGATCTGTCCTTTACAAGTGCCCTAACAAAAGGAGCTCCCTTTATTCCTGTTCACCCCAGGCTCAGTAAGATAATGGATACCACACAATTTGTTCAGGTTCTTTCTCCTCTAAGAAGTAATAAGCCAAAAGGGAAAAAGCATTGTCCCAGTGGATCTGTGAGACAGATCACTGCTAAGCAGAAGAAATAGCCGCAACAACAAAACGCTGATTTCTGAGGTGCTTCAGTGCTCCAACTAGTATTTTACATTGATTATATGCCAAGTCATTATTTAGGCAAACTAGATAATCTGCTTTGCAACTTCAAATGGAAGAATCACTGAGGCACCTGCTCTGCATTTGTCTGATGGAATAGAGAAACTTGATATGAATAAAAGAAGAAAAGAGATGTTGGCCCCAGATACTGGCCATCCCCGAAGCATGTGTTTGGGCAGTGAGACTGTGATAACAGCCACCACAATGCACTCTGTGGGATGCACAAGAGGGGAGGATTTAATCAGGTTTTTCTGCCTTCTCCAACAGATGTGTTGACAATCCATAAGTGTATGGCTCTCATTCGCAGGAGTTATTTGCCCCCAAGAGCTTTAATGTAATTTTCAGGCAGTTTCCTAGCCCCCATTTCTCTCATTTCTTAAATATATGTGTTTCCTTAGGAGAAAAGGGTAATAATCCTCTGAAACAGAAATGGATGGAATTCAGCCCAGTCAAAACCAATCAGATCCTTCAGATTTGAGGTTTATATACTTCATTTAAATGATCTGCTAATGAACATGAGCAGAAACACAGAGCAGTGTTGGTCACAGGGAATTCACTGACATTCATTCACTTTGATTTTTTTCTCTCTTCTCTGTTGGTGCCCACATTATCTGACAAAAGCGTGTTCTTACTTGTTTTTTTGATTACTTTTTTTTTTAATCAAAGACATTATTGGCTTCTTATTGCTTTGTGGAGAGAGATTGAATAATCAAAGCTGCTTCTATCTGCAACATACAAAATTATTCAAGTTAGCATTGCAGATGCTAGGGAAGTGGGGACAAGGAATGCCTCACGGAGCCTGGAAATGTCTCCTCACCCACACCAGGAGAGTCTTTTGGACTTTGAGGCCCCATGAGTGCAAAGGCTTTTTTTTGATGGGTCTTAAGGTTGTAAAGGTGGGTTATTTGTAGATTAGAGCTTTGAGGTTTACCCACAGAGTGAAAAAGTTGCCTCCTACTTTCCTTACTGGACCCTACCAACTGTAGAGACTTCACTTTCTTGAGGGTTCGCTTAGTAATCTGATGTGTTTGACAGCTCAAAAGAGCATCAAGATAAAAGTGATGTTAACCATTTCACAGCTAGGTAATGAGTAGGAACAAAAAAGCATGGTGTAGACATGATGTGCCTCTGGTAAATCAACAAAACTCTGACTTTAAATGTTCACTTTTCAGAAAATAATGTGACTTTTTAAAGGAAAAGAAAGTCTTTATGATTGATGCACTAAAGTAGGGCTCAGGAGACAAGCTAAAAACCTAATTGCTTCAGCAGCTTTTATCAGTGTGATTCATCTGGTATAAGTTTACCTACCTGTAAGTTAACTGTTTAATCTACACTGGTTATTCAAGGCCCTTTTATGAGAGAGGCACGTATTTCTAATTCATCCAACCTATCCTAAATGATAGCTCTTTCTAAGGTGCTTTATTACTTTCCTATGACAAGAGAGTGAGTCTCTTTCTCTTCCTAAGCATGTAGTTTAGATGGATTCATCTCATCCACCTTCATCATTCCCTTGGCATTGTAGCAGCAAAGACTTTTTCTCCACCCGAGCCTCAGCTTCCCCTCTGGCAGAGCTTTTGGGGATACATAGAGTATCATTTATGGGGTGCATATACATGACTAGTTATGTACAAAGGCCAGGCTAAAAGCCTGCAATAAAATGGATAGTAGTTACATTTTGTATTTGGCTGGTCATTCTTGTTTTTGTAAACTTCATGGCTTTAAGTGATGTTCATACAGTGTCCTAGAGCAGAGCTGTAATGGCATAGTGTCTCACGTAGAATAATTAGAATTTCTCTTAGAACACTTGGGGCCCAGAACAGAAAGCTTGTTGTATGACAAAATTACATTGAGTAATTCTATTTTTTTTCAATGATAGAGTTTAAAATGTGGCAAAATCTCAATAGCCTGATTAGCTGATCAGCCTGGGATGCTAGGTTGATTGACAAACTTCTGAGAAAGTGACTGATCCCATACTTACTGTTTCTGTATTATGTTTGCATATAATAGCACAATGCTAAATTTTGTGATCCGGTCTTTGCAGTTCAAGGTTTGTCAACACTTGCCATGAACAAACATACTCGTAGTATCTTGAACAAGGTTGGTCTATTGGTCTCATTTTCTTTTTTTCTTTTTCTTGCAAGTAGCCCTGTTGTTGAGCTCAGCATTATTGTAAGCTGTTTCGTGATCAACTAAAATAAGCAAAATATGGCCTTAATTTTGCCTTTTTTTTTTTTTTTCTTTTCAGTGGCTGCATCAACTGCTAATTCCACAGCTGGTGCGGCCATGAATTCTTTGACTTCTCTGGGTACTCTCCAAGGATTGGCTGGAGCCACTGTTGGACTGAATAATATTAATGCACTAGCAGGTACCGTAAACAGTGAGTATTTATTGCTGTGGTGGACAGCCTTCCCCAATAATCATGCCACAAAACCTATCAATTGTAATGATTATATGATTCTTTTTAACCTATATGCAAAATAAGGGAGTCAAGTTGATCTAGTTCCATTCATGGTACAGATGCAGTTCTGGAGTCTTTTCGTTTCACATAGTTTGCTCTGCAAAATGAAGTCCCTTGGGTCCCTGCAGAAAGACTCCTTTTCTTGCAGGACGTATGGAAGGTAAAAGAAATGTCACCAGAGATTTGGGTTATCTAGGTTGTACGAGAGGCTCCTTTTTCATTTAGGGAGTCTGACAACAGGTATATCACCCCAATGAATGACCTCACTCAGAAATGTAGTAGTAAGAAAGATGTTTGCCACGGAGGCAGTCCTTTTAAAATGTCTGTAGGAATTATCAAATTGATTTGAGAGCAACATACTTTAAAAATGAAGGCAAGTCTTTGGCTTTTAATTGGCAAGTATAAGAGAATGATGCAGTCAGTCACCTGTAATACCAGAGCATGCACACCTATCCTATGACATCTTAAACAAATCCTGGCATCTCCAGCGAAGTAGATGCTGGTAGTTGTTACAACATTCTTCCTTGTTCTTAGCCTTGGTTGAGATTTTCCTGAAGAAGAAGGATTTTTTTTTTATTGTTTCTCCTATGATGACTTCACCTTTGCCTGCAATGGAAGAGATTTGTCCAGCTGCATTTTCCCCCTCCCCTTTTTTTTAGCTGCTGTTGTTCCTTGCATTTCCTTTTGCAATGCAAGGAATCTATTTGGTCATTGCCAGTCCATGACCCATCATAATGTACCCCCAGGAATGGATGTCCTCCTCAGTATCTCTTGCTCACTCTGATGCTCTGCATGATGTCCTTTTTGTCACTGTTACTTGGCTGCTCACCCAATCTTTTTGTTCTGTGATCTCTGGTTGTCATTGTTGGGAGTTGGGAAGGAAGGGGGCTAATGGATGTCCATGTAGCAATGTTGAGTGGTTGCATGGGGTCTTGTGTAAAACAGGTCTTGCTTCTGGCAAGGACATGCATATTTCACACAAACAACCTCATAGTAAATATGACTCAAGAACAACTTAAGAAAAGTAAGTATTAGGTCCCAAAATGGCAGATGTTACTTTCCTTTCTTATTATTACACTAAAAATGGCATGCATGAAAAGCTAACAATCTCCTCTCATGAGCTCTCTTAGTAAGGGAGCTACCCTGTCATAAGTAAGAAATCCTTAATGTCCTTTCCTGATAAACAGTGATTGTGCTTTACTTGGTTTATAAGAGTCACAATATCAAGAGCGGAGTATGGCTTCCCACTCCTTCCCTCTCACAAGTACTAAGAACCCAGGCACACTGGGGCACGCCAAGATAATGTCCCCTTCATCAAGACCGAGCAAGAATGAATGACGTATGAGCTCTTGACTTTGCGTGGGAACCCTTCTGTTGCACTCCTTTTAACAATTCTTGCTAGGCTACAAGCAAAGAGGTTACTTTTCCTCAGCAAGTATTTTGAGGTGATGTGTGTGCAAACGTATCTGCATGTGTCACTTGGAGTGTTAATGACGTGTTCACGACCTGATACCAAATTTCAGCTTGTTTTAAGCCACCATTACTTTCCATGGACTTGTACCAACAGTGGCTTCAGTCCCCAGTCTTCTTCATGGATGTTTTTATGGACACCGAGGGTGTATGTGCCTAGAATATCTGTATGTGTATAGCACTTACAAAATCTATGTTGATATGCCTGTCTATGTATATACATATATGAGAGAGATCTAAAGAGGGGAAACTGCTTCCCCACAACCCAACACAGTGTTGTGGCACTGTTTCTCTCAAAAGGGTGACACTGATTATCAATTTCAGGTACTTGTGATGCTAATGATAGCGAAGCATTGTTCAAGTCACAACCTCCCCTGTCTATTTTAATGACAAGCCAGTGCTTTTCCTAGTGACCGTGTCTGATCCAGTCATCCGCACTCAAACCTGCCTAGGAGTTTGCCTTCGGGAAACCTCACGTTCAATGAGTCTGATGTTTCACGCTATGCCATGGTCATAAGCGCTCCAGTAAAAACATTCAAACATCATTTGGTCATGGAGGTTCCTGAAGTAATTGTGCAGAGAAGTTGGAATTGAGTGACATGCTTCCAATTGGGGAATTAACAAGAGCGATCCAAAGCACAAGTCAAGCAGAGCTTAACCCAAAAATTAATCAGAAGGCGGCATTGGGTGTGGGCATTGATTTACAGAGGTGTTGGAAGGGGTACTCTTCTGTCGAAGCCATGGCCTGCTCTGTATGTGAGAATCACAAGGAGAATGTCTTCCAGGCTGAGCTCACTAGAAGACTTTTATTTGTTTTCTGGATCCTGGATGGGTCCATGAAAAAGACACTGGACTGTGGAGACTGATAGTGCTCTCATTGTAGAGAGAGGCATTGTAGAAAGATGTCTGGAGGCCTTAAAAATCAAAGGAAGTGGAGTATGGCAAGTTTAACTGTCTCCAAGGGTTTGGCAACAGTTGTACGTACATTTGGGGATTCACCCAGTCTTCCCTCAGTTGTGCTTGAAGCGTCTGAAACCTTAAATGACAAAACATTAGACTGTCTCCTTTGGGCACGTAACTTTAAATAATGTAACTAACAAAAAGAATTATGAATAATGAGGAAAAATTAATAAAGAGAGAGGAAGAGATTCTTTGCGGTTAAGAAAGAACACCACGGATTCAGGATACTGGACAGCTATGGCACAATATTTGTGTGTGAACCCAGGGCAGTCACTTAGCCTTTCTGCCCCCATATTTACATCTGTAAAATGGAGATAAAACTATTTGCAACGGATTTGAAGGTGCTTGGAAAGCACTTTAAGAGACTTTTGGACTTGCCAAGCATTGTCACTTTTGTATTATGTAGAGTAACTGAAAAACATAGAAGGCCATAGATGAGAGACTCCAAAAGGTTATTTCACAGAAGTGAGGAAGGGACCAGAGTTCAATATCAGACTGAGGTGCATTGGTAGAGATAATAAAGAGATGGCAGAGATGTGTAACTGCAGCTGGACCTTGTAGATTTCATAAAAATGTAAAAAGGGAGAACAGAAAAAATGTCAAGAGCTTTCTGCAGTTCTGTTTTGCTCAGGAGGGAAGTGTATTTAGACACGTGCGCTGCGGTCGCAGTAGCAGTGCCCTTCCCAGAAGCAGAGCTGTGAGCTGTCTGGCTGTTTGCTAATCTGAAATCATTTGGTGGGACGGGACTATTGATTCTAGGTGAAAGAAAGGGGAGGATGCTGCCCACTGCAACACAAAGCATGTTTATCTGATAGGCTGATGACTCACGAAAGATAACATGTTATCCTAATGCTTCCTCTATTATCAAGTTATTTCAACATGATAATAAAAGGAGAGATACAAGCTGCTTTATCAGGAGCCTTTACTTTAACCAGTGTTGTGTAACCCATGCAAACAATGACACAAACCTAAGTACAAAAATATCAGCAGGTTACGGTCAGGCTCAGGATCAAATAATATTATTATTATTACAATGACGATGATGAAGAAGAAGAATCTTCATTTTCCAATGTAAGATATGAGATGCTTGACAAGCTATCTTGGTTTGCAACTTTTTGTTTTATAACTGGGGCCATTATGCAACAAATATCTGGCACTCTTGTGCTCTGACAGAGGTTTTTGTTCAAAGTAGTGGCAGCCAGTCCCTCCTATCAGGATACAATGATGCTCTGAAATGATGTGGAGGGGAAAGAGAAATCTTCAAAGTGCGAGACATTTTATTAAGGAAAGGCTAAGAATATCACATCTCTGTCAAGTGTTTAGTCACACAAATTATAGGAATATCAAAAGGTATAATTTATGCAGTACAATTCTCTTAATTGGCACAGACTCTGGTGGAGCCAGAAAGGTGCCACTTGAGCAATTGTCCTGATTATCAGAGACTCATAGGAATACACTTTTTGAATCTACATAAGAGATGGAAGAAAACTAGTAGGTCAGCATCTTTATCCTCCTCTGTCAATGCAGGATAATTCCCTGCAGTATTCTTTCTATCTCTAAATTACTCATATGATAAGGTTTATGCCGCTCTCCTTGAAGATTGTTTCCCAGTCTAATAGATTTCATTGTTAATTCACTATAAAGTGTCCTCTGCTTAATTTCCTCACTTTTCTCCAATTTACATATGACTCCTTATTATTGCTCTGAAATTAAGCTCTCTCTTGCTCTTCAGTGTTCCTAGCTTTTGGGTCTTAATATGGCTCCACCAGTCACCTCTTCCCCCGTCATTTTACCAACCGAAAAATGACACAGTCAAGGTCTAAGAAATGGTCGCTGGTGGTTCTGAGTGCCCCATTTTTCTGGTGACTGACCTACTGTACCTCAAGGGGCCTGATTAAGCCCTTTTAAGTTGTTTGTGAGCTGGTCACCTAAAAATGGGGGAGCACGGGATAGATAGTTGTGCAGAAAACACAGCCTAACTCTCAGTCCTGATGAGCACTTACTGCTCCGGTTGACACAAGTTGGAGGTGTGGGCAATGAGCGGGACTCTGAACACTGCCACCCTTTTGACTGCCAAAGAGACTGTAGCTCTAACAGAAAATTCACTTTTTCTGGAATTTCTGAAAAAAATAAGCGTTAACACTGTTAACTTCAACGTGGCTCATTTTGGAGCCATGATGAGGAACAGAAGCAACAGAGAGAGGCTGTAGCCCAGGAATTTGTCCACCACCGAGTCAGTGGTAAAAGTTTTTCTGCGGACCACGCTGTGTGCACGGATGAGGGATGCCATTTTCCACACAGCTAGCAATCCAGTCTGAAATTTCCTCTCTGGCAGTCATCCCAGTTAATCTGTTATTTATCAGGGTGTAGAATTGCTTTAAAGAAAAAAAATTAAGCAATTCTGCTTCCAGTGAGAAGAAAGACATTGCTAGAACCAAATGCTTTTATTTCTTCATGAAAGATGCCTAGTCTGGATGAAGCACTTTTAGTCGCTCTAGATGTGCTGCTGTTCATCTCTTCTGGAGTAACTGGAGTAACTGGAGGAGGAGGGTGGAAGTGTAGAGCATCGCAGTCCATCTTCCTACCACAAACCTAAGGGGCAAAGCCCATAATTGTACAGAGAGTTGTTTCAAAATGCTATTAATCAGGGTTCTCTGCTAACTCTGTATAAGCAAAACACTTCTGATGCGGTGTGATCATGGCCTGTCGCTAAAGACCCTGGTCAGAAAGAGTGAGTTTCCTCGCAGACTGCTTTTTCCCAGTGGCCAGCTTGCAAGGATGGAGGTCAAATAGGTCCCACTCTCCCAACTTCAGATACCCTCAGCAGAAGCATGGGTGTTGAGGAGGGTGGGCAGAGGCTTTCGGGAGCACCGAGCTGTAGTACTTGCCAGTAGCAGGCTGCATGCGAGTCCGTTTGACTGTGCAACCCTTGTGCTAACGTGATCCTGACGCCAAAGTCGTGTTTCTTTGTTTTCAGTCCCATTTGGTGAAGTGCCGAGCTGCATGCACTGCCATCGTTGTCAGTGTCATATAATACCAACGACTTTCGGAAAGCACTAATGAACAAGTGCAATTTCTTTTCTCTATTGTTGGGTTTTTTGTAAAGTTGCTCAAATGCTCTCAGGTATGGCGGCCCTGAACGGAGGACTCGGCGCAACAGGCTTGACGAACGGTACGGCTGGCACGATGGACGCGCTCACCCAGGCCTACTCAGGAATCCAGCAGTACGCTGCCGCCGCGCTGCCGACGTTGTACAGTCAGAGCTTGTTGCAGCAGCAAAGCGCTGCGGGCAGCCAGAAGGAAGGTAAGCACCCGCTGCCGGTACAGCAAGCCCCACGCCGAGCAAGCTACCTATGGCCAAACGAAAGCGGTGGTGTGGGTTCGTTTCTTCACAGAGGCTTAAAGAAGGACCTCGAGTAGCCTAATCTTTGATTTTTTTTTTTCAGTTTTCTCCTGTTTAGTATTGCTACTTTCTTTAACCTCTAACGTAATTCACTTCTTAACCATCGGTCCCTCAAGTTATACTTTACTGACCATCCTTTCTTATATAAAAGCATTTAGCAACTACCACGTAAAAAGGCACCAGTAACAAAAATCATCCCTTTATGGATGCCATTTTCTCTTCTGGTTTCCATTTTCTGTTATAATGGAGTTAATCTGATTAGGTTTAAAGTTTTGAGTTAATGACAAGATCTGTTTTGGCTTTGAGTGGTTCTTTGCTTAATTGTGGGTCTTGCGGGGAAGCAACTAAGTGAATGATTGCCCCCTCTCCCCGCGCCAACAACAAATAAACCTCAGGAAGTTACTGCTAAGAATAAATGAATACTAATTACAAGATGTTTAGGAAAATGAGGTTACCCTTTTCCCCTCTTCCGTTCCCCTGCACACTTCCCAGGCATTTGGGGGGTTTGTTTCTGTTTTCATTGCTTTCTCTCATCCTAATTTCCAGCTAATTCTAGAAGGACAGGAAAATAATTGCATGCTTTCTAAGATTGTATCTATGTTGTCACTACTGTTCTTGCCAGGGCTAAGCTTTGGAAATAAACCTAGTGTAATATCCTCAAGAGAAATTTTTTTATCCTCTTTTATAATAGTATCTTCTACTGTTATGGGAAGTGTTTCCTAGGAAGACAAATTTGGCATTCCCCCAGCTGGCTATTGTATAGGGACACTGGAGTTAAAATGTATATTTTTTCTGAATTCTTTACTTCATTTACTGCTAACAGTTTGGATTATTTAAAATGAAAGGATTTTTTTTTAATTAACTTTTTTTCCTCATTTTTTCATATTCTCTGCATTTATCTTTCATCTCGCTCACTTTGGTCAGTGACAACAGACTATTTGACACCAGAAAGAAATTGTTTGGTGTCATTGTAAGATACATATTGAAGGAAAGATTGATTTTTTTCTATTTTATTTTTTTTTCTGTTTATCGATGTTCATATCAAGTGTAGGCTTACTTTTTATTGTTATGAATTGGCAGTGTCCCTTTTAAAATACAGTCTTTTTCGTTATATGTCTTGTTTCTGTTAGTAAGGGGTTAAGTTAAAGTGAGTAAATTCTGTCATTGAATACTGACAACTGTGTTTTGCCTCTTAACATGATTTCTGATGGAATGGTGAAGAGTCTGGAGTGGTTGAGGATAAACAAGTACCAGAGAAAAATGCTATATAAATATTAAATGCTGAAGCACAGTGAACTGCCTCATGCATATGCTCTAAACTATTGTTTAATAAGTTTTTCTTAGTATTTTAAAAAATACTATTTTCTGGATAGGAAATACTTGCGGTAAGAAGAAATAAGTTTCAGGTGGCCAATTTTTTTCCTCTTTTTTTTCACCCCCAAAAAATGTTTTTCTTTTTAAAAACATTTGTTTTCTAATCCATTTATCACCTCCTTTTGGGCAAACATTGCAACCTTTTCCTTCAGGCTGAGAGAGAGCAGCCAGCCTGGTTCTTCTGTATGGGAGAGGTGAGGCTTCGTAACTCTGTTGCAGAAGGTACTCTATAAATCTGATGCACGCTTTCCTTTTCCTCTCCAGAAAACCAAGGCCATCACATCTGAGGCATACTTGGGTTCCGTTAAGTAAAGGAATACTTAAACAGGTTATTCTAGTGTTTTTACCAGAAATGTTTGTGTCCTTTGCATACCACTTATGCTCCTGGTGTCTGCATGGGAAGGCCACATGCCTGGCTCCATCATACATCATGTTCTTCCAGGCATCCTTTGCTCATTTCCAGTATGTTATTGTAAAGGAGAAATTGAGGTAGGGAAAAAAATAACCTATTAGTGCTAGGATGAGTGTTTTAACCAACAGCACTAAGAATGTGTATCTCAAATTCTGGCTGCAAGAAAAATATTCAAAGCACCTTTGAGTTTGCACCTTTCTTTACAAACTCAACTTTGTCTACAGCCACTTTAATTTCAACCCAACTACTTTATTTTGAACTTATTTTTAAAAATATTTACTTTACAAAGTTTCTTCTCTGTCTTTACAAAGACAGAGCTTTCTATGGGGAATTTGTATTTTAAAAAAAAGCTGTCATTTTGAAATGAGTCGGTAGAAATTTGATTCTGAGTATCTTTCTCTCTCTGACTTCCCTGATTTCTAAGTCACAAGGTTTGTTTTGTCTTACCCTTTTTATTCCCATCTCCACCAGTTTCCTGCCCTTTGAGTTTACATCTGTGATACTCAAATCTGAGCTCAGCTCATTGTGTTCCCATAAGTTCCCACAACTAGAATTAAACCGACGACCCCATGCGGGTGTTTGAGGCAGCAGAGGACTCCTTGTGCAGTTCTTGGGGTATTGTGAGAGAGTAATACCTTGTGTACCTGTTTTCCTAACCTTAATGATACTGAAAGACACTCATATAAATTGAAGAAAGAGGCTGCATTTTAACTTCTGTAGTAGAGTTATCAAGTAAACACTTTTCAAGATAGGATGCTCTAAAGAGCTGCATTTCAGCTCTGTTCCTTTGATGATCCACTTGCTTTTGTTCCTTCAAAGTTGGAAAGTGAAATGCTTTCTGACCATCACCTCCAGTAAGTATTATGGAAAAACAGATTAAATATAGCACCTGTAATAGCTGTTTTCATACTTTTTGTTTGTTTGTTTTTTCCTAAAGGTCCAGAAGGGGCAAACCTCTTTATTTACCACCTCCCCCAGGAGTTTGGAGACCAGGACATTCTGCAGATGTTCATGCCTTTTGGAAATGTTATCTCTGCTAAAGTCTTCATTGACAAACAGACCAATCTGAGCAAGTGCTTTGGTATGTCAAATTTAATAAATTGAATCGTAGAAACCACATGCACTGCACGGAAAAGGGGCCACGAAAGAAAATTAACAGCAATGTGAGAAATGTCATACTGGAATCTCATTCCAAAAAGAATGGACTGTTAATCCTCAAATGAGTGGGAAGATGCACAGACAAACTAGTTCTAACTAAAAATTGGATATGAAAAAACAATAATAATCTTCCAGTCTGACATCTTGCATGAATGTGTCAAGTACATGAAACTAATTACACCCTATGTGGGGGAATGTCATTTAGTATACTATTAAACTGCCTTTTTATGGATACCTAATTATTCTCTATTGTATAGCTGAGCCACTTAAAAACGCTCTATGTTTAACCCATTACTTCTATATTACAGGAATTTCTTTCTTCTGAATTAAGCACAAGATTTTGCAATTAGTGATTGAATGGTGTGTACATGTAGTTCAGAACGCTTTACAGACAGTTGATGTCTAGATATGCAGCTCCAGCTGTTGCGGGTGGGCTCTAGTGTATTATGGAAGGTAGCATCTCCCCTTACCTTAGGGCAGGGATGGAGGGAGCCTCACAAGATCAGTGTCAAGTTTCCCAGAGAACACTTTGAGCTGCCAGAAAATAGATCACAACAGAGGAGAAGATGATATGTTGATATAAAACAAGTTCTAGGGTTGATTAAGTGGGCTGATGTCTTTTGAATAGCATAGATGCACCAGTTCAGTGCTTTGATGGAGTGGAGTACAGAATGTAAGCAAGTGGCAATCTGTTAGAGCATTGGTCTAACAATTGTGGTCTTATGCAAGACATGAGGAGGGTCTAGGAGGAGGAAAGAATCTCTTAAAGATAACATTTATGAGGTTTGACCTAACATATTTGAGCTTCCTTCCCAGAGTAAAGGAACACAACTGTATGTATGACAAAAGAGTAACCAATCCAGACAACCCCCTAGTTTCCAAAACTCCTTTGTACCAACAGTGTTGCTCTTTGCCGAGCACCATCGCTTAATTCTCAAGTGTCCCCATTTGAAGTGTCCTCATTAACCATAATACATGTTTCTTAACTTGCATATCATTACTTGGTTTTAAATCTAGGTTTTGTTAAATTGTGCCTAAGGATTTGTCTCCACCAGGGCCATCCAAGGGCCCCACAGCTATTGGGCTTTAACCCATCTTGAAAGGGTTTGAATTTATCTAAACAGAGAGTACCCAGTCACGAGGAGAATTCATCAAGTTACTCAGAAATACATGCTGCACTGGAAATCAAGCCTTGCCACAGTCTGAGTGTTTTTCACCTTAGTACATTTGGGAAGTTAATTCAGTTCAGAGAAAGGGTGTGACATTCTTTCTGCATTTTTCCATAGTCTTTCAGTTTGTTTTTGAAGCATTCATCTCTTTAAGCTTTACAAAAATTGTTCTTATCTAGACTGATATAGTCCAGCATGTTTCTGCAATGGGTTAGAACAGTCCCTGAGGCTGTAGCAAATTTGAAAAGTGGAATTGAAATGGACTCCCTATTGATCTGGAGCCAGTTCAGTTAGTACGTTGGGGTGAGAAAATCATTGTTGAGTCTCCAGGAATCTTGATGAAAAGTCAAATCAAGCTATGTTAATCGGAATGCAGCCATTGTGGTGACTGCTGAAAGAAGGTAGATTAGTTTGGGCAGGCAGCTTAATTCATCAGCTTGCTTCCCACACTTGCTTTTTGTGGGTTTCCTTTTACTCTGTGATTACCTACTTACACATTTGTCTGGATTTATGGGACACAGTTACCTAACTTAGAGTGATGCACCCAGGTTATCTTATTTGAGGGAAAATGGAGGGGTCAACACCCAACGGATGGAGGAGTTCTCTGTCTTTTTGGCATTAGTGAGCTCTCACTAACATTTCAATTTCTCATTCTTCCTCCCCAGATATTCTGCCACCAGTGAGAGAGTTCTGCTTTAAAAACAAAAAGTACTGCAGTGGCAGAGGAAGTTGAGATTTTCTGATTCAGTAGGTGACTACTTGGTGATGCTGCTAATCACAGGCAAAGCCAGGATTAATCCTGCTAGTTTAACATACTAGCGTACTCTGTATGTACCTCCTCAGCTTTATTAGCAAGAATTGTCTGTTGGTTGTTTTAGTCCCATATTTGTGTTTTAAAAAACTTTAATTTCTCTCTGTTCTCCCACCCAAAAATTAGGACAATAGTGCATCTGAAGAATGCATTTCTCTCCTGTATCATTAATGGTCGTTGCTCTTGGTACAGTTTGCGTTTGGTTTTTTTTGTTTGCTTGGTTTGGTCTTTTTTCCCCTTGTAATAATAATAATAATAATAATGGTAATGATGTTTTGCACATGCTTGGTGCTTTCTACTCTGGAGTTTGCAATCTCCTTCCCAAAGGAGGAGGAAGTCAAATTACAGATGAGGACAGGTTGAACACCAGAAAGATTAAAAGATTGTCCAAGGCTGTCCACTGGCAGAACTGGGAAGGGAAGGTGCACTCTGAGTGTCGCAGGGTAGTGAACTTTTATGTAATACTGCTTCTCAAAATGAAAAAAATTACTTTTCTATGCAGAAAATGGACTTTGGCATTATTTGCTTTCTTGTCCACCTCAAATGAATGCTCAAAAGATTAAATGGTGATGAGGATGACAGGACAGTCTGTTCATGCCTGGAAGTGCTCTTCCATTAGTTCTCATGAGCTCTAGTTGATTCAGCAGACAAAGGGTTTCACTCTTCCAGCTTATGTCTCGCCTTTCATAAACCTTAAAATGAGAGAAATGAGAGATGTAAAAGTACGGCAGGGGAGGGGGGACCCAATGACACCAGTGCATAAATGCAGTCTGCCGCATAGCAAAATTGCTGCTCGAATGATTAAAAATATTTATCCTGATTATAGAGATACCTAGAGATTTAAAACAAAAATCAGAATTGTCATGACAGGGTCTTTGAAAATTGATAAGAAACATCATCCCATCTTCATGTAACCTGCGGTTTAAAATTTAGACAAAAAATGATGAATGGGTACAATCAGAAAAAGTTAAATAAAGGGAGAGAATGCCAGATTCCTCTGCAAGCTTCATAAATTAAGGTCCTCAATAAGGGAGAAGGTGAAAGTTTAGCAGGCTAATGTAGATGTAGCATTCTGTGTAAAGAGGCAAATTGTGAATCAAAACAACTGAATGATAAAGGCTGATGCCACCAATGCAGCGCAGAGGTTGTATGTTTGAATTTGTGATTGAGTCAAGGGAGCTGATAAAGAGACATAGCATGAGGTGGCTTGTCTCACCCTCTGGAAGGTAAGCATAGCCTGAGCTAATTGTTCTTCTGTCATCAGTGGAGGTGTCTAAATTGCTGACATCAATGGTGGGTGGAAAAGCCACCTCTGGGTGTGCTTGTTACTCTTCGTTCACCGTTCATAGATGCCATCTAAGTGACTAGTTTAGATCAGTTGCTTAACTTTCAGGTGGCTAAAACTAGCTAAGAAGAAAAGGAACTAAGGTCATGAGAAGTTCATAGCAGAAGACTGTTCTGAATGCACTTAAGAGAACAAAGCGAAGGTCAGAAAAGCTGTAGAGGAAAATGCTGAATTGTCAAGGTAGGTAAGAGTAGCTACATCTCAGTTGTGGAGCACCTGCCTGGAAGGTGCTACAGCTGCCTTCCAACTCATGGTAGATCTCTTTTCTATCCCCGAGGCAATCCTAGAGATCAAGGCTTTGATCTGTGAGCTGAGGGAAGTAGACACAGGAGTGCAGTGCTAAGACAGTGACTGGAGTCATGTGAACAGACAAGATCTCCTAGAAGCAAACAGGGGAAAGGAAGAAAGGAAGAGAGTGATGAAGCTCCTCAGGATATGGCAGTAATATTAAGAGGAAATGATCTAGTGGAGAAAGTGAGGAAGTGACAAGAGTTACTAAAACCAAGGAAGGTATGGAGGAACGTTTATTATCCCTTAAGGAGGTAACAAATAATCAACCACAGAACAACATGAATAGAGCATATTGGCTTTGGCCAGGAGAAGGTCTGCAGAGATTTAAGTGAGAGGTGGTTTTGGGAGGAAGGAACAGAAGTTAGCCTGAATTGTCAGAGAAGAGTCTTAAGTTAAATGGTTTGGTGAAGTTGATTTAAGGGGAAACCATAGGGATGGTCTATGAAGGAGAGCAGCTGGAGAAGGACCAAATGACTTGATAAGAGGGGGGTTTTCTTTACAAGGGGGAAAGTGTATCATTCTGACACTGAAGATGGAAGAGGGCAGCAGTGCAAGGTAAGCGAGAGCCATAAAAGAACAGGTTAAAAAAATTATGGTAGAAAGAGGTTATGAATCGGAAAAGTACACAGGCACTAAGCACAACTGAAGAAAGCTGGTAGAAGAGAGGCGCTGAGAAGCCTGTGTGTTAGGGCTGAAAACAAAGTGTGTGGGATCCACGCTTTAACAGAGTGAAGGGATATGTGTTAAGGCAAATTCAAGTGGAAAGAAGAGGGAGCATTTCAAAGCAGATGCATTAAAGCAGGCTGAGTACAGTAGTAATTAGCCAGAGCTGAGGCAGAGCAGCAGTTAGGCGAGCTTTGCAATTACAAGTGGGAGGCCCAGATATGAAAATGAATTTTGAGCTTCCAGAATCAGGGAGATTTGAGTCCATTATGAACAGAGCATTTTTAGTCTCCCGGGGAAAAGAAAGCTGAGCCAGGCCAGCCATTCTGAATTACCCGAGCAAGCATTATCCCCCTAGTTAGTGCTCGCAACCGAGGAGCAGAAGATCTGGGCTTCTTGTCAAGCCCTGCCGTTGTCTTTACGATGCTGCTTAATTTTGATGCTTGCATACTGCTTTGGGGACCAAGAGGCTGAATTAATTAACATTTAATGTACCTTGAGATCTTGAACTGGAAGGAACTGTAAAAATACAAAATATTAATATTGTAACTGTCCTAGGCTAAGCCTAAGGAGACGAGTGTTTCACAGCACAGAGGACCAGTGCACATGAACTCACATTCAGGTGTGCAAATGCGTATAGGCATCTGAGTTTGGGTTTTGTTTCTGTAACCAGGCTTTCTGTTTCAGCTTCACATCTGCAGACTGGCCTAATAGTACTTCCTAATAGACTGGGAGGTATGTAGATATTACACTGAAAAGTGTCACAGTAATTAATATCTTCAGTCTCTAAGGTAGGTAGATAAATAACAGATTGGAAACTGCATTGCACCAAAACTGGCCAACTGCATCCCAGCTAGTAAAGAAATATTATGAAGGTAAAGGGGAATGCAAAGGAAACGGGAGCGGAAATGGGATACAAAGTGGGATCAAAGAACTAATTGAAAGTGAGGTAAATGTGTCAAATAAATAGTAATAATAAAATCCTAACAAAATGCCTTCTGACATTTGTTCTAACCTATAGTTCACTTTCTCTCCTGCCTCCGTTCTGTGTCTCGTAGGTTTTGTTAGCTATGACAATCCAGTCTCTGCACAAGCTGCTATCCAGGCTATGAACGGCTTTCAGATTGGCATGAAACGCTTGAAGGTTCAGCTGAAACGCTCCAAAAATGACAGCAAACCTTACTGATCTTAACCCCAGATGCTTACTGCTCTTATTTTAGCTTTCTTAGGGTAAGTCCCATGAGCAAACCTGTCCTCTGCAGGGGGGTTAAGAAAGAACATAGAGCCAACCTTCACAAGAGACAGTTATTTTTACAGTTACCACTTCCATTTCCCCACTTGTCCTTATTACACTTGGCTCCCATTTCCTTGCCAAGTAATTACTGAGTTGTGTTACTGTATTTTGTTTTGCAGCATAATTTATCTCCTTTAAAAAAAAAAATAAACGTCTTGAAATTCAAAGCAACACACACACACACAAAAAAATGTGCAATTTAACTCTGTGAACCCTGGTGCCATTAGCACACAATAAAAGTTGTTTTCTATGGATGGATCATATTTTACCAGGGTGGCACCAGCAGTTTATAGGTTAAACAAAATGGCCTCATGCCAGTCGAAGCACTTATTTTGCAACAAAAATTGAAACAAGTCTTTCCACTACATCAACTTGTTTTTTTGAGAAGATTTGATTTTTTTTTTCGGTTCGAATCAACGTATTGTTATATATTAGTCTGATTTTACACTGGTCGTCTTTATATTTCACTTTTTTTTAAGTTCTTGGTTTTTTGGAAAGGATTAATGTAAAAAAGATTTAGAGATCTGTTTCTAAAGCTACAGGGTTTAAAATAAAAAAATAAAATAAAATGAGTGACAATACTTGATGTTTCTTGAGAGATAAATTTAATAATAATAAAAAAAGAAAGCCACAGGCCTGTAAATTTTATTTGTAAAAAGCATTTCTATTTTTATACAAAATTTTTACTGCCTCAGAAATAATGGAAGTTATTTATTGCCTATTGTTAACTTATTGGATACCTAAAGAGCAGCTCTCTATGCTAGCTAGATCCTTTGAAGTAGTCTCTAGAGTAATTGTGCCAAGAATGGGCGCTTTTTCACTGTTGAACCCTACACCCTTTACAGTTCATGCTTTTATCCTCTTGTTTGTATTTGTCTGGTTATTTTGTTCGTAGTTTCCATTACCTAGTTTAAAGTTCAGTTGTCTGACCCTTTTTCCCCCCCTCCCCGTACCTTTCTGTTACATTTGTAGAAACTGGTTCTTTCCTCTCTTTTCTCCCCAAAGAGGAATCCATTCTCTCTGACTCCTTTCAGATGGATTCTTTGGGGGTTCCATTGTGCTCTTGTTGACAAGTATTGTAAGTTAATGCAAATTATGTGAATGGCTCATAGACTCTACTGATAAAAGATTTGCATTAGTTTTCTCCTGCACCCATAAAAGTGATTTTGTTTGTGCTGCATAGATTCTATGTAACTTTTTTTCCTCTTCCTTGTTTTTTCCCTAGACATCTCCATGCCCGTTAGCCCATCGTTTGCCTAGCATGTCCCTGTGGCGTCTCAAAAAAAAAAAAAGTTTCATCGTCCCGTCATTGTTTCTGATGTCTTTCTGACCTCACATCATATTTGGTTCTCCTACTGACCTTTGATCTAGTTTGACCTTTGAAATTTGCATGTGACCTCATCTAGCTATGAATTCTGGGAAGTCAATGTGAAAAAACATTGCTGCATTCATGCAAGACTGAAATTTCTTATTAGATAAATTAATGATAGGATTTAAAAACAACCTGTGGCAAAATGTTTTTTCTTTCTTTCCTTTTGTTGGTTTTCTTTTTTCGTTTGGGTTTTTTTTGTTTGGGTTTTTTGTTTTGGTTGTTTTTTTTTTTCATTTCGTAAAAAAAAAAATAAAAAAAAAAACAGTTTTGAAAGTATTATACAGGGATTGGCATTCTGCCTGGTCACTGGTGACAATAGCAATATGTGTCCAGAGGCACAGAATGTTGGTTTCTAACAGACTACTTCCAAAACAGTTTGAGAAATAAAACTGTCTGATTTTAAGTCTCTAGAGGTCTGTAATAGTTTTTACATTTTTCAGGCAGTGTAAAGTTTTTTGATAAGGCCATTTTAGGTGGCTCACTTTCTCATTAAAGTATATATATAGAACCACTTTTTGTAGATTAGTATAAGAAAATATTTACCCTGTTTTAGGGCAAATGCTACCTACTTGTGTCACCTTTTGCTGAACTGACTCACAGTTAGACAATCCATGGTTTAATGCACATGAAATTACCTATATTTTATACTGTTTCAATGTACAGAAGAAAGGTTACTGTAAAATGTGTTACGTTGGTGCTTCTGTGAATTAAGTTGTGGTTTCATCATGAGTCTAATGGTCTTAAGTGTTCTATGTTTATAAAAGACGAGTTTAAAATTGGTTTACTTGAACAACAAGAACAAAAACGAGATTCAAAAAAAAAAAACAAAAAAAAGTTGTTTGCTTAAAAAAATGAATTTCATGTGAAAAATGAAAAAATATTCCAGAATAAGTTTGTGTTGGCTTGTGACGCATTGATGTCATTTTTTTATTGTGAACAATTTAGATGTGTTTGTGTTCAGCAAAATGTGATCGGTTTTTCTTTTAAAGAAAAAAAAAATCAGTGAAACTATAGTGCCAAATTCCAAAGGTACTTTCTTCCTAGAGCTTCAGTGTGTTTCTTGTGTGAAGTAATTTGATAACATGGGTATTTTATTATGTGTTTTGTATAAATCCCTAATATTTAAAGAAAAAAGAGGTTAAAAAGTTTGTTAACTTGCTATCCTGTGGTCTTGTTGCCTGAAATTGTTATTGTTTGTTATTTCTCTTTGATGTTTTTTGTAAAACATTGTATAAGTGCCCATGTTTCACTTTTTTAACCACTCTGCACACATCAATGCTGTGAAAGCAAACCTCACTATGTATTTTCTTCATATTGTATGGAAACCTCTAAGGTGAGAAAGTTTTGAACTTTTAACCCTTTCCACCCAGAGCTGTCTTGAGTGTTAATACCTTTTATACATTCACCATTTTGCTGTTTATTTTTATATATATATCTATATCTATAAATATATATATACTTAGTTTTTTGTGGTTTATTTAATACATGGTTGAAATCAGAACAATGCACAGGGCAGATCTGAAGGACAAAAATATTTTACTGCTGTCTAAATTTCTTCTGTATCTATAACTAAAATTATTTAAAACCGTAATTAACTTGTGGTTTTCCTTTTTAGATTTTGGGGGATTTTGTCTTTTCTTAAAGAGCTTTTAATATGCTGCTGGAATATGCTATTCAGTATTAATAAAATAAAAGAAAAAGAAAACAATTCTTTAATTATCTATTGTGTGAGCCACTCCCAGACAGGAGCGGTAAATCCACCATTTGAAAACCTTGAGGAGAAAAAAAAATAATAATATTTTTGTAATTTAAATAAATGAACTTTTGCTTAAATCAGATGCACTAGATCTTCCTGGGTGAAAATTCAGTGTGCACTGCAGTTAAACTACTTTTTATGGATAAAGTTTACATACACTGTAATGTTTGGTGTGATCTGCCATTATTTGTAACGGCAATATATTGGCTTACTCCTGCAGACACTCGTATAGAGAGGAGTTACTTTACTCGTACAAGTAGTCCATGGGAATATATTTGTGACTGATGTGGGTGTTTGCTGGAGGAAGCTCTCTGTAAGGAACCAGAAAAGAGATGCTGGTAGCCCTTTTCACTGCCTTGTAAGTCTGATCAGATTGCGTTTCTACTGCACAAGTAGTGACCAACAACCAAATTTGGGTTTTTGCTACCGGTATAGAGAATTCATTGCCAATCCAATGCGTGTGAGCAGCAGTACCTGCTACTGATGATAAAGTGCCATACCTTCTTCCACTTCCTATTTCTATCCAATTATATTCAAAGCCGCCTAAAATTCAAAACGAAGCCCTATATGAACAACATCAGCTGGTGCACTCTTGTCTCTCATCCCCAACTTAAATGCTTCTTTATGTAGAGCCCTGGGATGGAAAGGACTAGCCTCTAGTGATGCAAAAAAGTTTCCTTCTTATAGCACATGCACTTATAAATAAATGATCTATACTTTTCTCACATGTTTTTACTACTGCTGGGGCCTTCCTACACCCTTTGAGGGCTATTTTGTACTACTTGCAGCAATTTTGCATATTCAAAGTATCATCTCACGTACGTTATATTATATATATGTACATATATATATAATATGAGATCATCATTTGGATTGTTTAGACTGTTTCACTAATTTTTCTCATTGTACCCACCGTATAAATTTCCAAAGCTTCTTTAGATGCCCTAGTGTGTCCTGCGGGTTTACCAGTCCGGTTAGAGCGGTGATGCCTTTGGTCCTCAGGCAGTGTAACTCGGTATCAGGCTGCCCCGAATTACGCTACATGGGACATTGGCTTAGCGGTGGGAGGGGAGAAATGTTTCTGTACTTCCAGGCAACTGAGATGGGTCATTGCTGAGAAAAGTGTCCCTCTTGAAATAAAATTTAAAAAAAAAAAAGTCAAGTACAAAACCAAAAACCCAAACATACACCTCCTTGGAGACAAATTATCTACCAGTTCTCTTTCAAAATATTGAAAGGAAAAAGCTGCAAGGGTGCAAGGGCCTAATAAGAGAGGAAGAAAAACAAGGGAAATTGCTTTACAAAATTCTAATCAAAAGACTAGACTAGTTGTTTTTTCAAACAAATTAGCTAATTGCGATGAAATGGCAGTCCTCAAAGGAGTAACAAGTTCATCTTTCTTTCACCATAGGGGTTACAGTTCCTTGGCTTGTGCTACTCTGGAATCATTTTACTGTTTCTGTTTTTATTATCTTAAGTGCTAATTAACAAAAGGAAAAAAATAACCTGTAGTTTCATTACCTTTTTGGATAATGTCATACAAAAAAAAAAAAAACAAACCTATGTATTTGTGTTTTTTTTGTGCTGTGAGAATTGTTGTTTGTAGATTAATAATACTATCATTTTGTTTAGAATTACAAACTAGTTTTTAAGTATTGTCTGAGAAAAGCCAAAGTTAATGCAATCTAGTGGAAACTGTAAGACCATTTGAGTATTGTTTCTGTTTTATTGATGCATTTGGATTTTGTTGTTTGATGGAATTTGAGCCAAAAAAAAAAAAAGAACAAAAAAAAAGAAAAAAAAAAAAGCAGGCTTTCCTATTTCTACAACTTGATTGTACTTATGCATTTTGTACCAGTGGAACTTTTTATACTGGAGATTAAAAAACAAATGGAAATTTTTGTGGCTTACTCTCGTGGGCCCCCTCGATCATGACTGATTTTCAAGTTTGATTTCTGGACGGTAGAAAGAGAGTTGGTTTTGTTTAGAGAATTCAAAACTTTGGCTTGATTTCTTTTTTTCCCTTTGCTTATATCTAGTGTTTAGAATTTTGTCTTAACAAAAGCGGTAAGTTTCACTTTTTATTCTGTATCGTGCAGTTACACAATAAGGTAATTAGAATTAGGAGTACTCGGTCACTTTGCGTGGATAAATGTATTAGTTAAAACGTTAGGGGTTTGCTTTTTTGCTGTTTAGATCAGAGTTTTTTCTGATTCTTCTGTCCTCATTGTGAACATAACCGTGTAGTTGAAACAGTCAGACTTATTTTTGTAACGTATGTTATTGTGTGATGCAGTTTTTTGCTTCTGTCTCCAATATTAAACCATTTTCCTAATACTTGTCTCTCTACTTTGTGTGTTGTATTGTTGGTGGTCATTCTGTGTTGGTAATACATCTACACACCTCACTGTTTCACGTGCCTGTTTTTTTTTTTCTCTATTTGTTGGTCGTGTACAAAAGATACAGTCGATTCCACCTAAGTGAATATCTGATTGGGGGGCAAAAGAGGATTTGTACATTTTAGACATGTTATGGTTTCTTTGACTTTTATTTTTTTTCTCTCTTCCTCCCCCTAGTCATGCCTTATCACCTGGATAATCTATCTGAGCAGGAAGCGTTTTAAATGAGTTTCCTGCAAAGTCATATTGAAGGTAGCTTTTGTTAGCCGCCTAACTGCAAAAGCTTCTGCACACAAACACACAGAAGCCACCTGAAAAGATTTTTTTTTTTTTTGCTGTGACATTTCAGTCAGTCTGGAAAATGTGGATTATGGAGATCAATTCTTCCTAGTTGTTAAAAAAAATAATAATGATACTCTGCCGCTACTTCGCAGAAGCGTATGAAACATTCAAGAAAAGGAGGATATAGCCTTGGGATTTCTTCCAAACTGCACAGTAATCTGATGGCATATGGTGTTAGTCAAACTCTCCTTAGAAACTAATCACATCTTAACTAGGGCTGTGAGAGCCTGCAAAAGCCTACCAGCTGATCGAGCTTGTTATGTGCAGTTATACATATAATAATTAAAAAAATAAAATAAAATCCAAGTGAGCACAGGAAGACTTTATATTAAAGCCAGTGGAATTTAAAAAAAAAAAAAAAGAGAGAGAAATAAATGATGGAAAAAAGATCTCCTGTTGTTCAAATGGGTGATATTTTTGCTGTGGACTTACAAAGCAGATCATTCTCAGCATTGGCTAATAGTATTACACAAATCTCAAAAGGGACAAAAGAAATACCATAGCAGGTTTTTTCTCATTATTTTTTACAGTTGGCTTTTAGATTTTTTTATTCTTTCATTTCCTATAATTTTTTCTTCCTCACAAGAATCTCTCTGCTCTCCCCCAACCCCTGTCTACCATGATGAAATAAAAGCTGCAAAAGAAAAATCTATGTTGTTCTGGTTTACAAAAAGTCTCTCTTCTCTCCTCTGATCACAAATACAAACCTTACAATTTGGAGAGGGGGGAAAAAAAACAAAACCAACCAAACCAAACCCAAGGAGGAGAGAGAAGCACTGGCGAGTGCTCTCTGGAATTCAAGCCATACGCCCCCGTCCCTTTCCTTTGTCCCACTTTCTGTGATGCTCAGGAATCGAAGACCACTTAAAAGTGCTCTTATGAGACCCAAATGACGCTCCTCCCTCTTGTCTCCTCTCCCCTGGTCTTTCTGGCACTCTGGCTTTGGCTCACACACACAAACACACACACCCCCCCCTCAAGTAACGGCTTACGAGGTCATGGCGCACTGGGTGTTTCCGTCTGGTGTCAGCAGCGACGTTGGCTCCTGTGTTTGGAAGAGTTTTGAAATTTTCTGGTGGCTCATGAGTTGACCTGGTTGTTATTGCTCGATATATTCTTTTTTTTACTTTTTTTTTTTATTGCTTTTTTCGCTTTTCCGTTTCCATGAAAGGCAAATAAGTGATAAGTCTGGAGTCCCAAACAAGCTCAAATGTCGTCTTGCAGGGTCTGTTGTCTGAGGTCAGGGGTCCAAGCAACTCTAAGTTTAATCTAAAGCCACAGAAGCCTGTAGTGGACAGCCCAGGCAGGAAAGCAGAAACCGATGGCCAGACTATATCCTGGGTCTTTTACACCTCTAGAGTCTATGATCCCGA